TGTCTGACAATATCTTTTTGCAAAAAAATCCTGAAAAATGGATAGCAACGAGGACAAATATGGAACCTAATTTATCCAATATTTAATTGGAACCACATTTTCATCTGTTTTTTAATAAAACCCGTGACTTAATTACAGCGTTGCGAATGGTCACAGTTAGTTAGGCATCTGATACTACTACTGTATCACCACCATCACTGCTACCATACCACTACTACTATTAGTACTACTACTTCTACTATTCGTATTACTACTACTACAACAACTACCACCAACTACTACTACTACTACTACTACTACTACTACTATCTCTACTATCTAATACCTAACTACTCCTTTCTAACTTTCTTTCTTTCTTCCTTTCTTTTTTTTTTTTTTTTTTTTGGTTGTACGTCAACTAAAGTGGTTCAAAAATCTATGCAAAGATGCTGCAATCATCAGAAAAAGTCCATTTATGTACGCGAGAGATCACTCCAATTTGAAATTTTTTGTCAACCGGCTAACCGCTTAACTCCTGCAACGTAATCCATCAATATACGCTCTGCTCGCCAGTAGGGTCCAGGAGAATATTATTTCAAGGCGGAAAACTCCCAGACACCCACAAACCAAAGAAAAGCTCCTTAAGTTGTTTGTAAGTACCAGTAAATTTGGCAGCGCCGCGCACTTTAGCGCCGTTTTGGGTGCAAGCTGTGTAGAGTGTGAAAGTTGGTCGCGAGGATCCGCGCTGCACCGTGGCCGGCAGAGCTAATTTTCAACATGACCTTGTAAGCCGGAGTGGTTCGTCAAGCGAAATCTCTTGTTTTCCTTGTCCCACTCGTGCATCGCTCATTTCCTTAGCTGGTGAACGGACTCGTCAGGACCGAAAGTAAAATGACCCCAGCAATCCAGCATCATTCTCCTTCATTAATACCAAATAAAAAACAATGTGGCTTTTTACTTTCGTACTCTCTCCGGCGAAGAAAGTGTAATGATGGAAAAGAATTTGGGTTTCATAATCCTCGGTGTCAACGTTCTTGAAAAATTGATCGAATGGGCCTGTTGCAAACTTTTGCTAGAGCAGAATGAAGAGTTGTTTCCTATAGATAATGCCTCAAAAATCACGATGAGCGCATCGGCAAAGTCTGAAATGCACTCATAACTTCACAATCTGCGTAAGAAATTTGCGTTATTTTGAGCTTCCCACTTCAAAAACGATACTACTGCACAGGTGAACATTTTGTTAGAGGAGTCGCTCCATCGTCGGCAATATTCATCATGGCCGACGCTTGCGCAGTTCCTCGCGTAATTCGAGGAGAGTTCAAGGTCAATCAAGGCGGGCGAGGAAAATATGAACGTAAACACGCCGATTGTTATATGGTTTAATCCTGTTCAAGTGTTATCTCGTCCCATCACACGTGTTTTGGCGGACTGGCGTCGGCCATGATGAGTATTGTCGCCAATGGAACGACTCCTCTAACAAAATGTTCACCTGTACCGTAGTATCGTTTTCGAAGCGGGAAGCTCAAAAAACCGCAAATTTCTTACGCAGATTGTGAAGTTATGAGTGCATTTCAGACTTTGCCGATGCGCTCATCGTGATTTTTGAGGCATTATCTGTAGGAAACAACTCTTAGTTTTGCTCTAGCAAAAGTTTGCAACAGGCCCATTGGTTCAATTGTTCGGGTTAAATTTCAAGCGATAATGCTCACATTCCAGGCGTTAAATTTCGCAGCATAGTTCAAGAGACACTGCGTGCTGTTCACATATACTTGCTAAGAGCCCTAGTAGCAGAGTTATATAAAAAAATTGTTTTTAAAAGTATAAACCGTAAATAACCACAAGCTAAAGAATATGCATTGTTTATGTAATGGATGTAAAGTTTTTTAGTTAAAAGTTTACATTTTCAATGCGCTTTTTATGTGACCCTTAGTATAAAAGTTATATAACCAAATTCAAACAGTGTATAAAATGAATTTTCATTATTCTTCCTGGCTGGTAGCGCACTCTAGTTATGAAGTGTGCAAGTTTTCATATGCGTTACTACCAGGTGGTGGATCATCGTAGAGTTGTGACTTACCTTAAATCCGCGGCGTCCTAGTCGGGATTAGAACCCCCACACCTCGGGATGGAGTTGCACTCCGAAGTCCAGTACTTTACCACCAGACCAGCCAGGCTTGATATGGATGGGCCCCTAAATTCAATCTCTTAACTATCGCAGGCCTCTGAGTCCGTAATATGTTTGTTTATTGACGGATTCTTATAATATTTTACCAGACTTTATTATTTATTATTTATTTATCTATTGTTTTTTATTTAATGATGTAATTTTTTCATTTTCATTTTTTTTTAACTCTCTGTCATTTTTTTAGCTCTCTCTTTTTTTTAACTATCATGTTTTTTAACTATCATTTTTTCTAACTCTCTCTATTTTTTTTTAACTCTCATTTTTTTAACTCTCTCTCTCTCTCTATTTTTTTAACTTTATAATTGCGTCTTTTTCCAGTTATAATTATATTTGGGCCTTTTTCTAGTTTGAATTTATGTCGATGTATTTATGTTATTTATTTATTATTATTTTCATTTCCTTTTTTCTTTTAAATTTTTATAATATTAATTTAAACATTTTAAAAAAAATTAAAATTTTTAAAATAATATTTAATAATATGTTTAAAATATTAACAAAAATAATTATGATATACTTTAAAAATATTATAAAATATTATTTTAAAAATTTTAATTTCTTATATTTTTAATATATTTTTAAAATGTTTTAAAAATATTCATTGATTGTATTTCAAAAGTATTTTTGAAAATATTTTAAAAATACATGAAAAACGTTTTAAAAATATATTAAATTTCAATATTTTTAAAATATTTTTAAAATATTGCTGTCTAACTGGGCAGGGTTATGAGCCAGACACGCTACCAACTGAGGTAACAGGGCTCCTCGGATTGTGTGCCGAAATATCCCCTTTTAACTCGTCTCGGAGCCACTAATACCTCTAATAATACCTATCCCACGCAGTCTGAGAGTCGAGGGTGTTCATTGAAATGAGATCATCATCATCATTCATGAAAATGAGATAGGTTTACGTTAAAGTCATTCAGGTCATTTATATAACAGTTATATTAAGCAAATTAAGCAAAAGGATACTATGCGTATAAAGAAAATTTATAAAAACCCTTCCTCAATTATATGAATTTTATATAAACGTTATCTTCTGAAAATATGAATAATTATTTTCATGGGCATTTTATATAAAACTTATATACACGATACATAAACTTTAGTTAAAATGGTGCTTATATAACCGGTATTAATTCCTTATACGTTTGTTAGGAAGGGGAAAGTGAATCATGCTACTAGGGAGGGAAGAAACACTCGTTTCGGAGGTTAAAATGATAGGATACAACTATTCGTGTTCAAGGGATGGCCGTGTTGCCTATGCAAAAATTGAAGGCGTTTTGATTTCCTGGCCCTCCTGGCAAGGCGCTTCGCAGAAACAAGCAGTTTGGGATGTACTCGGCGGGACAGTGAGGACTTAGGACACTTTTTTGGGCAATTGGATGGAGTTATAAATAATAAGGGAGCTCATTTTGGACACAACTTACATGCCATTTGACTTCTTGTGCAGAAAGGTGATTATAGCTACAGAGCTAGAAAAACTGGTTCTAACCATTTAGATGTATGAATGAAAAAGTGAGAGTTAGGGCTGTAGTGCGTTGCTTCATGTTAAATCTTTCACCTGATAATTATTTTTTCATTTGTAAATTGGTGCGTGTTTGACAGTGAAAATTTCTCGGAAATTTCACTAAACAGAGCGGAGCGGCGTGCTGCCAGCGCGACACGCCCACTGGCGCCTACAAACCTAACAGGGATACTTCACGCATTGCGCACTGGCGCCTTCAAACCTAACAGGGATACTTCACGCATTGCGCAATGCGTGAGGTATCCCTGTTAGGTTTGTAGGCGCCAATGCGTGTGTCGCGCTGGGCGCCCTCGCAGCCACAGCGCGGCGTGCAATAGCGCTTCAAGCAACTATCTCGCATTAGAGGTGTTGCACAGTATCACAGTAACCAGTATGGTTCAGTATTTTTTTAACGATAAGTAGCTCGCTGCTTATCGTTAAGTATAGTCAATTTAATTAGGAGTCTTAGGATTTTACAGTTCGGTCTTTTTCTTCTCTTTTCGTATTTTCATTTTTTCCGCGATATCATAAACTAATTTTGACTAATTTGCTATAACTTGTAAGGTGCATAGATATTGTGAAAGTAAAACGCATTTACCGTTATTTCCGACATTGTACGAGTGGATTAGAATTTACTTCCCCTGAAGAAAACTGAAATGCGTTTTGAAATTAGGAGCTACTATATTCGGATTCTTCAAAAATCACCCATTTGAACTGAAAAATATCAAGACTTTAAGATGAGTCGGAAATATTACTTGATTACTGTAAAATTTATTCACACTAATCATTGTAAGTGCAGCGCAAACCAACAAGAATGAAAATGACATGTGGTGCATTTTAAACACTAACTCCCTACTTGTGTAATTAGGATTTGTTAGTCAAGTGCTAGAAAATTGAAATTGTGGACCTAGTACGCAAGAAACTTTGCAAGAATTCATTTTTGCGTTCCAGCAAAAGTTTGAAGTAAACTCAAGACCCAGTAACTCTTTCAAAGGTCCGTTTTTACCGCACGGGAAAAAATAGGGTAGTCGACACAACCAGCGGCTAGTTAAAAATGCGCCAGCTACCGTGCGATAGTTACGATAACTACCGCAGTGGTGGTCACAACTAACCCGGTAGTTACATCAACATCCATGGTTATTGGTTTAACCACCGGGTTAGTTGTGATCTCCACCGCGGTAGTTATCGTAACTACTGCACGGTAGCTGGCGCACTTTTAACTAGCCGCTGGTTGTGTCGACTACCCTATTTTTTTCCGTGCGGTCTCGTTACAATCCTTTGGTAGGATTACTTAAGTTTTTAATACTAATGCCTTTTTTTTTAAAATTTCAGGAGTGTCAACGTTCGCGCAGTCTTCAGGGTCCTCGGGTCTGGGCGGGGGTGGCGGCGGGGACAGCATCTCGGACTTCGACTTCAAGGACACCGGGGCCGCAAGCTCCAACACCAACACCAACACCTTCGGGGACTCGGAGGGTGCGGGCTCGGAGACCGGCTATAACGGGGTGTGGACGTTCCCGGACAAGAGCCCGGCTGCCAGCGCCATCTACCGCAACCCGGCCGCCTCCTACGCCCCCCTCACAACCGGATATGGTGCTAGTCAGAACAACTACGTCGCCTCCTTCGGCACGGACTTCAATCCCCCCAAATCATCTACCTCATCCAAGTGAGTGGCAATCATCAGAATTTTTTTTAGGGGTCGTTTATGTATTACGCGAGCTACTTAAAGGGAGAGGGAGGAGAGGGGATGGGGAGGGCGTAAGCCTCTCACTTTAAAATAAGGAGACCATAGATATGGTGTTCTGTGCAAATTTTGAATGAAATCGAACAGATAGATTCTGAGATATCGCTGTACACTGATTTGGGGGACGCCTGACGGACGGACACGCATTTTTTCAAGTATGGTTATTTTGACTCCTGGAACCTTAAAACGTCCAGAAATGATGAAATTTCAACTTTTTTTCTCCTTGCAGGAAGACAATACTTCCTCTACCCTAGGGTAGCGAGAAAGTAAAAATATTATCGCCTTGAACTGTTTGCCTCAGAATAATACCCTGTGTGGAAATACTTTACGTTTTATATAGCATACACGGAGGAAGTAATTCGTTGGTTCATGCAGAGCATTAAAGTTTTAAGTCCATGTGACTGCAGTTTTCAGTCATAGGAATATAGTCTCAGTTCGGGTAACCGAGGTTTTTTTAAGTCAGACTAAGACATTCAGACATTCTTCACTCCCGTACTTTCAATTCCTTCCTTTCCGTTATCTGAACTGAAGTTTGGTTCCTAGCGACTAAAAATTTCAGTCGCCTGGACTGAAAACATTGATGTTTCTTATGAACTGCAGTTCAGTTCTTGGAATGGAAGTTTTTTTTTCACGACGATGCAACTTTTCGGGATTTCAGACGAAAGTACATAGAGTCTGGATGTTATCAACTAATTATTTATCGATTATCACAGAGCTCTAAAATATGTTCCGGGGCCATCTTGAATCATTCCCTGCGAGTTTCACCCTGAAAAACAAAACGGAGATGTACTCCAAGCCGTAATCAGTGCTTATTTTTGAGGAAACTCCTAGGATATGGCACCATTGTGCCAGGGAGAAATTTCCCGACCGAAACGATGCGCCGTAAACTCCTACTCGCACGAACATGGACGATGAGCAAAGTGAGACTGAGATGAGGCTATTACGCACGGCTGCAGCGGGCAACCGATCGATAGGTGTCTGTCGTCGCCGACAGACTCCTTCAACACCCTAATTATGGGCTCAGCATCGAGTGGGATTTTTCTTCCACCTGCTAGATCAACTAATGCTGATCATTACTGGTCTTGAGGAGACCTTCTTTGAGCCACCACGTCGAGCCGACCAATCATTAGGACGTATTTGTGCCAGACGGAACTATGTGCATTGAAACATGAGCCCTGAGACCCATAAGAATATATACATAACAGGGCTCACGTCATATTGCACATAGTTCCGTTAGGCAGAAATACGTCCATTTATGATACTATGCATTATACCTATGAGTCGATATTGCTGAATTCTTATAATGACCTTAATCGATAAATAGCGTTGCTAGGATAGGGAGTTATCGAAACATTCGACAATCGACGCGCTGCGATACTCGTATATCTATCTATCTATAGGCTTTGATTTGTGTAAAAAAATTGTGGTGAGTTATGGGAGTAGTGATGAGTGTCTTTTGGAAATGACTGTTAAGTTGGAGGATTAGCGTGATGGATGGAGGAGAGAAAGTAAGCGGTATCCATGTGGGTGACCTGATGAGAGGTATTTTCTTGGCTGTGCATGCTTTTTTATGATTTTATTATTTCTGCGAGTGGGTGAGAGATCGGTAATTGAATGAAAGAATGAGTGGGTGACAGAATTAATGAATAGCTAGAAGAGAAACTATTAAGAGTGAAAAGTAGTTAAGTTTGGCAGTATGAGTGAAAGTACATCATAAGGCAAAAAAGTAGGATGAAAAATAAAAAATGGATTAAATTCATAACGTCATTAATCTGTAAGTGTGTCATTCGGTTTTTGTCACTTGACGAATGTTCATAGCTGCGTAACTTATTGTTGATGAATCACAGTTCTATAATGCCGTAGACCAAACTACAGAAATCAATTTTACCAGCCTTCATATTATGAAAAAATACTCAATTAAGTTCTGTTATGTAATTGCACATAAGTGGGATTTTCCCCAAAACTCGTATGTGCGTAGATAGAACGGATTTGCTTAACGTTATCTTGATGAATCGAGTCATGGAAAAAGGGCATAAGGAAAAAAACTCATGTTCCAAGCTACCGTTGTTAATAATTTCTAGCAGGTCTTATGGGTACTTAGACTTCTAATTTTTTTTGGTGTGTCAAAGTATCCAAGTGACCTTAACATTAGTCGTGGGAAAAAAAACTGGGAACCAAGCACCCATAAGCCACGGCGGACATTATCGGGAATGGGATATTTACGCACACGCGTATTTTTGGACTTCCACCCTTTTTGTGTGACTCGCATCAAATCGTCACCCTCCGGCCAAAGTATCACAAGCGCCATGCGATGTCTAAAAATGTCCGCCGCCATCTTATTTTTCTACAGACGAATTGTCGGTCGAATCTGTTTGAAAATTTCACTGAATTTCATCGGCAGCACACACACACACACACAAAAAAAAAAAAAAAAAAAAAAAAAAAAAAAACCAGTGAAATTTTTGGACAGCTTCGTTGAAGAATTATTCTGTTAAAATAAAATGGCGACGAAAACTTTTAAACGTCGCATGGCGCTTGTGATACTTCACTGGTAAAAGAAAACCTCTTGGACCAATGCCGCGTTGCATTGACTCAGTCTTAAACTCTTGTTTCAAGCGGATTTTGCATTGATTCAATTCAAAATCCGCTTGAAACAAGAGTCCAGATTCTTAAATCCGGCTACAAGAAACTGCACTCTTGAACCAAGAGGTTTTTTTTACCAGTGTTAGCCGTAAGGTGACGAAATCCTTTTCTTGTTCCACGCATTAAACTTGCCTTGTCAAAATTCTGCAGATCCGAGGGTTGGCGATGTGGCAGCCATTGGCGGCTATCTTCCTTGAGTGCGAGTGTAGGACGAGTAGAGATGACAAGTGATATTGCCGAGAAAAACAATGATCTGTGGCGAGGAATGGTTTTCCTCTCAGCATTGACACGCGGCCTTCGTCTCATTGTCTCCTTACGTGACTTTCGACTTTTCCATCAGGGACAATGGGCATCGCCGTGCAGATCCCATTCTAATTTCCCTTTATTATTTTCCATTTCATATACGTCTCCGCCACTCCGTGCCCCACGCCCCGTGCCGCCGGGAAATAATTATAGGCGCCTCGTGAAACTATTCGCTTCTCGCTGTGGTATGTCCATCATGTCACTTTTCCGACAGTGGGCAACCAAGAGGTACTTCGCAATCAATAAATCATGAAGATGGGCAAAATGTGCTTTAAGGTGGAATGTTCTTTTGTTCAAAGCAGCGAAAAAACACCTGCACGAAGAAAAATAGGTAATACCTTGGGTTTATTTGGAACACTAAATTGCTCAGTCAAGCTAACTGAAAAATTCGGTCATGGGAACCGAACTACATATCATGCGACCGAAGTTTTTGTTAGGTATACTAGGGCTCGCATTCTTCAGAAAAGATTTCTGATATCTGGAATACATTCCAGCTGTTAGGGCTGAACACTTTGGTCAGCTCGACCAAAAACATTAATGTCCCTGTGCACTGAAGCGTCTTCAAAGAATATTCTGCAACAATTTATTTAAGACTGGAAATGAAACAAAAAAGTCAGATTGTTCCAAAACGTAAATGTAAAGGGGCTTCAGTGTGAATATACTCCAGAACGGACATACTCCAGATGAATACTTATCGTAATCGATTCTCATTCATGACCGCGATCAATTTTTAAATGTTGACAAGATATTGCACGGAGAAAAAAACTTCGTGCGTGGGACCCGAGTTGAGGTCATTTGGATCTCTGAAGTTTTCGGATCACGTATCTAAAAACTTGAGGTCCAGCTGCCGAAGTTTGGGTCAGACATCTGAAGTACTTCGATATACCGAAGGGTTCTGGTCACACTTCTGAAGTACGCCGGTACATACCGAAGTCTCTCGATGTCTGACCCGAACTTCGGCAGCTCGACCTCAAGTTTTTTGATACGTGATCAGGAAACTTCAGAGATCTATATGACTTCAACTTCGGGTCCCATGCACGAAGTTTTTCTCTCCGTGTGCCGAGGAAACTAGCCTTAGACTCCTCGATGCTGAATCCTCGGTATCATACTTCATCGCAGAGAACCGCGACTTATGCATTTCGTATTCTGAATATTTCAACTTGCGGGTTTCTGCAGCCGGAGGAAGAATAATTGTCATCGTGAAGATTAGCTGTAATAACCCAAGAAATAGTCACGATCTTAAAAATTGTACATTTTAGTTTTCGAACTTTATTCGAAGGTATTGATTTTAAGCCGGAGCTGCCTTCTTATGTTGGGATTTAATTTTATGGTGTATCAAAGTGAACCGCTGTCCCGGAACGAGGCAAGACCCTGAATCGAAATTTTGAGTCAAAAATGCGCATGCAGATTTTGAGGTCAAGTCGATGGATGCGTGCGGCGAGATGGTCATTATTCAGAAAGTCAAGAAGCGGCCAAATTAATATCAGAATTCACTTTCTTTTGAAAGGAGGGAAGGCAGAAAGAATCACGACTTAATAAGTTTCGTGACCCCCACCAATAAATGATTGTTTACAAGGATCTTAGTTAAATTACTGGACGGATTCGCTTCTATTTTTCGTCAGTTTTTTTAAAAGTATTTTTCCCCACGAGAAAGAATGTTTAACTGAAAAAATTAATGCGTTCTACCAAAATTTGTATCTCCTTAATAATAATACTATTTACTATTGACTATGGTAGTATGGCAACAATTGATCAGGCTTTCATGAAGCTGATAGTCACAAAGAATAATTGTCCTTGGGTACTTTTGTGCGAGAATGTATTTTTCTTTATTGATTTTGGTAATGCAAACTGTGAATTTTTTAAGAAGAAATCTTCACTGAAATGTTGAAATAAACAGGTGCATTGCTGTTTTCAGTATGATATGAAATATAGCGCCGGCTACAACAGGCAATTCATACTGGTTAAGGTATGTCGTT